GAAGCACAGCCCTGGCAGCAAGGACAGCAGCCCCGGCCAGGGCCCTGAGCAGAGCCCAGTGGTCAGGGCTGGCACCCAGGAGCAGGGCCAACAGCTGGGAGGGAAGCCTTGACCTCCCCTAGTCTAGCAAACTCCATGGTTTGAGACTACTCAAGTCCTCATGTAGGAGTGAGACTTTATATTTGTAAAAGAAGGTTTAATAATGTAGTAATGTATGACTTAATTACATCCTGCCAGTCACCCTTTTAATTTGTGACCCTCTGGAGCATTGGTAGAAACGCATCTGACAGACTGTTAGCGTCTGTACGTTTGTTAAGGCAGGATCTTGTATCCATTAGGCCCTTTAGTTAAATATACATTTCTTTGTTTTCAGGTTTAATAAGAGACAGGTTCTTGTCTTGTGTCCATGTTAATGAGATTAGTGGAATGTTGAACGCCTGGGCCACAATGTGAACTGTTCGGATTACAAGATTTAGTAGGGTTTAATTTACAATGCTTTTTATTGCTCAATATAAAACACTGCTGTTTGTATACCTTTGAAGGTCTCTGTAAAAGACTGTTGTGTGAATGAGGAACGTATGCATCAGAAAAAGATAAGGTGTGAAGGCGAGATGGTCAAGAGAGGAGGGGCGAAGAAATTTAACGGGATGTATCAGTTCCAGAAAACCATCAACGCGCATCCATGGAAGGGCAGATTGAGGACCCTAAGGTGAAGGCTGGCACCCCTAAAGACAATTGATTAAATCAATCCAAGACAGAATGACCCTCTCAGAGGCGTTTTGGAATGTTAACATCAAAAGATAACACCTATTAAGGAGTAACTGGTCACAAACTGACACAGCAAAATCCATAGACTTCAACAGGGAAAAGGGACTATAAAGGCAGGATATTTTGTCATGGGACTTTGGGTTCGTCTTGCCACCAACTCCAAGAGCATCAGATCATGACTGACAAATCCCGGCTCCCCTCTGCGCTCAATCTGGCTGGCCACTAGACTGATCCAGACTCTGGACTGGTAACTATAACATCAACTGGTAGGACTGTGTGCATGGTATGTGTGGACGGGGGCAGGGGAGGGGAGGGGATGACTGAAAAGCATATGCTAACTGTTGTAGTCTCAATAAATGTGGCATATAGCCTTTTACCCTATAAAAGATCGCATGTGCTTTGTACGGGGGGAGGGATAGCTCAGTGGTTTGTGCACTGGCCTGCTAAACCCAGAGCTGTGAGTTGAATACTTGAGGAGGCCATTTGGGGTAAAAATCTGTCAGGGATGGTACTTGGCCTTGCTGTGAAGGCAGGGGACTGGACTCAATGACCTTTCAAGGTCCCTTCCAGCTCTAGGAGAGAGGCAATCTCCATTCAAAAGAGCCAGGACACTGGACCAAAGAGATCCCACCTGTACAGGAGTCTCTTATACCTCCCTTTATATTTTATGTAGCTACACCAAACTATGTAAATCTGTGTTAGTGACAATGGCCCTGGTCCTCAAAGATATTTGGGCACATAACTCCCACTGACTTCAATGAGACTTAAGTGCCCTAACACTGTTGAGTATCTGGCCTACTGTCACTTGAACTCAAAAACTATGTTATTGTCATTCTAGTGCTGAAAATTTCTCTTGGCTTATTTATATTTTTACTGCTATTGGCTGTAAAAAAACAAAAAACAAAAAACAAAGCATTGGGTTTCGATTATTTAAGATTCTTGAGAATTTGGATCCAATGTGTTACAGCTCACTGACCATTTCCAAGGATCCAGCTATGCTCATTTGTAATATTTGATTCTAAATGACCACATGTGATAAGTAAACATCTATTCAATAAATGCAGCATTGATTTTATTGTAGCCTTTCATGAAGGCCAGACAGTTTGACAGTTTGTGAGAAAACAGGAAACTGAAAGAGGATGATTGTTTGCAGACGAAACTGAAGAGTTTTAAATTAGCAGGTTAATCATGTGAGTACTTTTATAAACCACTAAAATGAGCTTAACATTTGTTGATATTTTAGGACTAGATTCAATAAAAACTTCTCAAGTTTTCCCCTGCAAAAACTTATGCAGAATCCCACAAACCTTAAAAACAAATCTGTTTTGGCTTTTAAACTGGCTTTCATCGCATAACTAGAAGGGTTTTTCTTAATACCAGCCTTTTATAATTAATGTGCATCACTAGAAAATCCTAAAAATGAAGCACATGACCAGCCCATATGCTCTATGATTCTATGGCTGTGGAATTCATGCCTTGGCACCAAACATAAGCTATCACATAATTATAAAAATTAGAAAGTTTTGCTATTCTAACCTTTACAGTTGTGAAAATAACCTTTACAATAAAAACAGAGCATACAAGGATGCTGCATTGTCTTCCTGAGTTTGCTGAACACCTAAAAAACTAAATCACAAGCATGACTTGCCCCCTTCATTATTAAGGGATATAGAAACGTAAAGATGGACATTGTATATCAAGGTTGGAAGATAATGTATTTTATTGGACCAACTTCTGTTGATGGAAGAGAGAAGCTTTTGAACTACACAGAATTCTTCCTTAGGTCTGGACAATTTTTCAGATCTGAAAAGCTTTGAGTAGCTCAAAATTTGTTTTCCATCATCAGAAGTTTGTCCAATAAAAGATATTACTTCCCTCACCTTGTCTCTCTTATATCCTGGGACTGATATGATGATAATAACACTTCATACACGACATTAGTTAATACAATAACTATTTCATTGCAGGTTATTTTTCAAATGTGTTTTGATACCATGCCTCCCCACCTGCAGAACTCTCACACTTCCCAACTTGACACCTGCTACAGTATAGTTTGGCATGTTTCAAAGGATTCTATGGCACACCAAAAACTGAAATTCTGGGTAGAGCGTAAAATAAAATGAATATAAAAAAGACTCTCCAGCTCTGTTACTAACAGTATTATTCAGTTTCAAATTTAATGGAATAAAGCCTCAATTTTTCAATATCACTGACTGAAGCTGTCACAGAATTTCTACTAGTAGGCCACAAAACCCAAGGATTCAGAATTTAGGTCCCACTTCTTATACAGTACATATGCACACCATTATCAAATACCCTTTTTTTTCAGTGTGGAAATAACATCAAAAATGTTTCAGGAAGACTTTGATTTTAAAAGCAAGAGATCTATTCCTGTCCATATGTTATCTGATCTAGCAGAAAAATAGAGGCATGTAAAACTACTTCATTTTTACTTAGGCTAAATCACACCCTTATGGGACATACTTATGTGAAAGAAAAGAGGGCATGCAACTGGCACTTGAGACACAGCTAATGCAAAGTTGCCAAAAGCACAGAGCAGGAAGCATGTCTGGGATAGCATGAGCAAGATCAGAACGTGTTCTGTTACCACTGCCAGCTGGAACACTCTGCTGAACACACAACATTTACCAGGCAGCCTGGAGGACTGGATGTACCTCTTCACCCTAGACCATTCTCTCATAGAGATGTGTTGCCTGAGTTAACACAGTAGCCAAGCCCACTTCCCAGCTCCCAGAAATCCTTCCTGCCTTCTGGTGCAAGAAAAAGGAGGCTCCCTACCCTGTTCTTCTCACCAAGCATCAAAACACCAATATAGATGATATCTAGGGCGTATGATATTCTGCTCTCTGACCACAACTACATTGTCAGGAGAGTTTCAAAGGCAGTGGGTTGGATCCGGCCTGCCTAGGGCTTTGAACCAGCCCACATGGCTGTTCCAAGCCCCGCCCCTTAGCGTGTTGCCTGGGAGCCCTTTCAACTGCTTCTATTTAAGTGGTTCAAACTTCCCCATGGTGGATATCACGCAACAGCCCCAGGGGAAGGCACAAGTCCTTTAAACAGAAGCACTGGAAAGAGCTTGCATGTCCCCAGCTCCCAGGCAACCCATTAGCAGCAGGGTCAGGAGCAGTGAGCCCTTTAAATAGCAGGAACTGAAAGGGCTTGCAGCTCCCGGCCCCTGGTAACATGATGTCTGGGAGCCACAGGGGAGGCGCATGTCCTTTAAATGCTGCTTTTTAGAGGCTCCGCCCCTTTTGCCCAAGGCCCCGCCCCTTCGGGGGCAACCAGCAACTACTTCAAAAAATTTTGAAGTGGCCCCCGGGGCAACCAGCAACTACTTAAAAAAATTTTGAAGTGGCCCCCACTCAAAAATTATTGCCCACACCTGCTCATAGGGTGGCAGAATTAAAACAGTTTATATAGACAGCCCATAAAAAGGGACTTCCTGGGCCCATTCCCATCATAAAGCTTCATGGATGGCAAACAGAAGTGGCAAAGATGGTGGCCTATGTGTCTACAAACTACACTGTTTCATTAGGTAAAAACCATGTGTGGGAGGAGGGGGGTCAGGAGAGAACTACAGCTGCTTCCACAGCTCAGAGGCTGTGGAGAACCACTACAGAGTAGCAGACTGTTCTGTGCACTAGATCTGAGTTGGGGTGAGGGGAAGATTCTGACCATTCCAATCATGGTGAAGGTCACTAGATTCTGCACCAGCAATAGAAAGTTGCCCTTCGTGTGTAATAAGAAACAGGAGGCATTCTTGCTGATACTTTTTAATTTCTAAATTCAGAAAAGTTTCCCATATTCCCAGTGACATTACCTGTTGCTAAAGCTGTAGCTATTCCAAGCTTACTTTTATCTGTAGGAAAAAAGCACATTGATCAACCTATAGTGCAACTATACCCTATTGATATTCAAAATATAATATTTTAAAGGGGACAGTAAGGCACCTTTTGCTTTCAGACACCTCAGCTGATTCAGTCTGGATTGGTGCTTTCCCTATGCAGCGCTCTTTTTTTTAACTTTTTGCTACATCTTCAAAACAAATCCACTCTTTCAGATGTCCATGTCTTACGGTCTGACAGCCTGCTGTCATGGATAAAATGACTCTACAGGAGGAAATGTACGAAGGACTGCCTTGCAAAGGACATGGCACCGATTATCAATTAATTAATTAATTCCATGGATTTTGAAAATAAATCTTAACTTACCTCTTAACTGTACCTTTGCACCTTGGAACTGGAAGCAAGTCACTGGGATTTTGACTCTGGAGTTAATTTCTTGTACCTGGGAGAGTTTAAAATCCTGGAAAACAAAAGAATTGTTAAAATAAGAGCTTCAGCATACGGCAGAGATTTTAGTAACTTCTAACACATCCACAGTACTCGTATATCTTTTTCCTCCCCTCTCCTTCCTGACCCCACAGAATCCTTTCTATAAGTTTTGAGGCAAATCCACCTTCACAGCTTTGACAGGAACAGGCTAGAAGAATAGCTGCTGTATGTGGACTCCACAGGAAATAATAGCACATGAATCAAAATCTACATTAACATATGCAAGTTTCCCCACAGCTGTGGGGGGGATTCCAAGGTCCTGTCAGCAGAATCAAGAATACAAAAGAATTTCAATCTTCTAAAAAATAAAGTTAAAAAACATAAATGGATGCACCGTTGCTTTCTTGACTCAGCCAACAAATAGGTCAACTGGACTACATGTTGAACCTCTTAAATCCGTGACTCTCTGGTCCAACGACATCTGTGGTCTGACAGGATCACAGAAGTTGCTGGACCAGAGAGCCCCAGTGCCTGGGAATGCGAGCCAATCAGGGAGTCCAGCGGAGAGGAGCCCTGTCCCCAAAGAACCCCAGCCAGGCAGGGCAGCAACAGGACCAGCAAGCCCCGTCCTTGCAGAGCCCCGTCCCGGCCCAGGAGCAGCGGGGCAGCTGAGAAGCCACATCATCGAGGAGCGCTGGCCAAGCAGGGCAGCCCTGGAACCAGCAAGCCCCATCTCCGTGAAGCCCTGTCCCAGTGCAGCAGCAGCGGGTAGCCCCAGCCAGGCACAGCAGCCACAGAGCCAGAATTTCCGCATGCAGAAGGACACCTTTCTGGAGCTGTGTGTGCCCCTGCCCTCCAGCAACAGGACACCCACGAGACCTGCCTTCCCCCTCCAGAAATGGGAAGCCATTGCAATCTGGAAGCTCGCCATGCCGGACAGCTACCAATCTGTCAGGAACCAGTTCAGCATAGGGAGACTGACGGTCAGGGCCGTGGTCATGTAGGTATGGCACGCCTGTGCTATCATCCTAGGAGGGTGGTAAACTTCTGAAATATGGTTCCCCGAGGAAGGGGGTGGTGGTGATGGACGCTCCCTCCCCAAGAGATTTTTCACTCCTGCCTTCATAAAGCCCTGACGGGATGGAGTAAGTGGGAGGTTGCTCCTGCTGTGTGGAGGGAAAGGAAGGGGGCTTGTGGACCTCCCAAGGGCCCTGGCAACCCTGTGATTCTCTGATTGTTTGTTTGACTCCTTCTACAGGTGATGCGGCCATCAACACCGTCCTACTACACAGGGTCATCAACATGGGCGATGTGAACCCCATCATCGCCAGCTTTGCCATTCTGGGCTTCCCCAACTGCAGGGGGAGTGCTATTGATGGCACCCAAATCCCCATCCAGGCTCCTGACCACTGGGCATCTGAATACATCACCTGCAAGGGGTACTTTCTGATAGTCCTGCAGGCTGTCGTGGACCATCACCGGCAGACACCTACGTCAGATGGTGGGGGAAGGTGCAAAATGCACGTGTCTTCCGCAACTCCAGCCTCTTTCAGAAGCGGCACGCCAGCACCTTTTTCCCCGATTGCACCGTCAGGGGAACATGGACATACCAGTCTGTGTTGTGGGGGACACAGCATACCCTTTGCTCCCCTGACTAATGAAGCCCTACCCTGGACACCTGGACCAAAGCAAGGGATGCTTCAATGCCACGCTCAGCAGGGCCCGCACTGTGGTGGAGGGCACCTTTGAGCAATTATGGGGAGGTTCCGCTGCCTCTGCAGCTGCCTGGATGTCAGGGAGCGGAACATCCCCCAAGTGGTGGCAGCGTGCTCTTTCCTTCACAATATTTGTGAAAGCAAGGGGCGATGTTCCTGCCAGGGTCAGGGGGCAGAGGCTGACCAGATCCACAGGGCCTTTGAGCAGCCCTGCATGGCTGCTATCCAGCAGGCCCATCAGGGGGCTATGCACATCCAGGAGATCCTGAGGGACAGTTTCACACAAGGACCCCAGTGACACTCTCTCCAAGGCCTCCCCACCAGGAGCCTGTGCATCACTCTTCTCTGCCTTTCCTCCCACACCCCTCCCTTCCACTGCCCTCCCTTCCTCCCCCGCAGAGACAATAAACTACACTTTTTTCCCAGAAAAAAGTCTTTGGTTTTTATTTGGGGTAAATATAACTGAGGGGCTGGGGAAAGAACCTGGGAGGGAGGAGGAGGGAGTTGGAAGGGGGAGGAGAGGCTCAGGGCTGAGGCTGGGAGTGGCGCCCACCTGGGTTGGTCTCATTGCTTCATGTGCGGTGCCCTCAGCAACCATGGGGGAGGGGAGGAGGAGAAGCAAGAGTGGCAGGAGCTGGGGCAGGAGTGTCAGCAGGAGAAGGCACCATGCTGGCAATGCCTGCTTGGAGAGCTGCGCAGATGGTCCAGCCCTGAGCCAGCAACTCCTGTCAGGTATCTCAGCGCAGCTGGAGGCTCTCCTTCAGTCTCTGGTCAGGCTGGTCCATGGAGAGCTGCAGGGCTTGCATGGCAGCAATATGCTCCCTCTTCAGGGCCTCCTGTGGTCTCCTGCACCGACGGGTCACACGGGGTCAGGAGGCTGGTACGGGAGGTGTCAACTGCTCCCCTCTTGCAGCTGGTCCAGCTGTGTAGAATAAGGAGAAGGACAGACATCCCCGGAGACACTGTGCCTGAAGCCCAGCCCTCATCTCTGAGCGGACACTGAAAGGTCTCAGGTCAGACGAAGGCAATGTGCTTGGAGAAAGGCCATCTGTGGCCTAGACAGTGGGCCCTTGCCTGCCGGGGCACAGATTTCCAAGGGACAGCCTCACTACGCTGTCCAGAGTAAGAGAGGCCTCTCCAAACACCCAGTGGGCAAGAGCACAAGGGTCCTCTAGTGCAGCCTTCTGGGGCTGTGTGACCCGGACTGGAGCTCCACATGCTCTCATGTGCACAGGCTGCTGCACGATCCCCAGGCCAAGAAGGCCAAGTGAGGAGCACGCAGCTGCCCCTCACCGCCCGCCAACTCCACCGGTGTGTCAATGTAAACTAACGGCACTCACCTGATGGGCCTACCACAGCATCAGATGATGCCTGGGAGACATCCAGGGCATGGGAGAGGGGTACTGGCTCCAGGGAGATCAAGTCCTCCTGGCTGGTGAGCATCGTAACACTGCTGGCCTTGTCCTCCTCCTCGTCCTCCTCACTGTGGGTATGTCTACACTACAAAGTTAATTCGAACTAACAGACGTTAGTTCGAATTAACTTTAATAGGCGCTACACTAGCGCTCCGCTAGTTCGAATTTAAATCGAACTAGCGGAGCGCTTAGTTCGAACTAGGAAAACCTCATTTTACGAGGATTAAGCCTAGTTCGAACTAGCTAGTTCGAATTAAGGGGTGTGTAGCCCCTTAATTCGAACTAGTGGGAGGCTAGCCCTCCCCAGCTTCCCCTGGTGGCCACTCTGGCCAACACCAGGGAAACTCTATTGCCCCCCTCCCGGCCCCGGACCACGCAGTCGGGCTGAGCCCAAGCTGTGTCCTGGAATCCCCGAAAAACAAATCCTAATATCCTGTTTCCAATTGTCCAGCAGAGGCCCTTTTATTAATGAAACCCAGCCCCTTAATTAACAGAAGCATCACCAACTCGGCTGAGGTCTATGATTAACACAAGCCTCGCCTTCTCCAAGCTGGGGCTCCCCAGTGAGGGGTTTGGATCAACAGAAACACAGCCTTCCAGGCTAAGGTCCCGCAAGAAATCTCTTTACTTAGCAAGTGCACAGCCTTCTCGGCTCAAGTCCACAGGTAAGTGTCTCTAGTTCACCAGTGCACAGCTTTCTCAGCTCAAGACCAATGACAGGGAACTCTTAGCGTGGGCTAGCAAAGGGGTCAGCTCCTGGGTTGGAGGTAGCGGGACCCAGGCCCTCTTCCTCCACCAGGTCCGAATTCAGAGCCCTAAGTGCAGGGAAACAGTCCACTGCCCGGGTTGGTGCAAACGAGCCAAAACTCACCAACCCCCACAGGCTCATTCAAGTATTCCTACCCTGGGCCACTTTCTTCTATGCAGCAGCTGCCCTACCTGGGCTGGGGCCACTGAAGAACTCAGTGCCTGTGATGCCACCAGGAGCCCATTGGGGGCTTGTACCTCCAAGAGGCTCTGGAGGAGAGTTTCAGACAAGGACACCTGTGAGACTCTCCCCTGGACATCCCCGCAAGGGGCCTCTACATTCCCCTCTGTGCTTCCCCCCCAACCTTTCCCCTGCTCTCCCTTCCCACTTTCCTCTCCCCCTGCCCCTGCCGGTAAAACAAACTTGACTTTTCCCTGCTGAAAGAACGAACTGTGGTTTTCATGTGGGGAATGTAGACGTGGGGAGGGGCTGGGGAAAGAACCTGGGAGGGAGGAGGAGGGAGTTGGAAGGGGGAGGAGAGGCTCAGGGCTGAGGCTGGGAGTGGCGCCCACCTGGGTTGGTCTCATTGCTTCATGTGCGGTGCCCTCAGCAACCATGGGGGAGGGGAGGAGGAGAAGCAAGAGTGGCAGGAGCTGGGGCAGGAGTGTCAGCAGGAGAAGGCACCATGCTGGCAATGCCTGCTTGGAGAGCTGCGCAGATGGTCCAGCCCTGAGCCAGCAACTCCTGTCAGGTATCTCAGCGCAGCTGGAGGCTCTCCTTCAGTCTCTGGTCAGGCTGGTCCATGGAGAGCTGCAGGGCTTGCATGGCAGCAATATGCTCCCTCTGCAGGGCCTCCTGTGGTCTCCTGCACCGACGGGTCACACGGGGTCAGGAGGCTGGTACGGGAGGTGTCAACTGCTCCCCTCTTGCAGCTGGTCCAGCTGTGTAGAATAAGGAGAAGGACAGACATCCCCGGAGACACTGTGCCTGAAGCCCAGCCCTCATCTCTGAGCGGACACTGAAAGGTCTCAGGTCAGACGAAGGCAATGTGCTTGGAGAAAGGCCATCTGTGGCCTAGACAGTGGGCCCTTGCCTGCCGGGGCACAGATTTCCAAGGGACAGCCTCACTACGCTGTCCAGAGTAAGAGAGGCCTCTCCAAACACCCAGTGGGCAAGAGCACAAGGATCCTCTGGTGCAGCCTTCTGGGGCTGTGTGACCCGGACTGGAGCTCCACATGCTCTCATGTGCACAGGCTGCTGCACGATCCCCAGGCCAAGAAGGCCAAGTGAGGAGCACGCAGCTGCCCCTCACCGCCCGCCAACTCCACCGGTGTGTCAATGTAAACTAACGGCACTCACCTGATGGGCCTACCACAGCATAAGAGTGTGGGCACGCCTATGTGCTGTGCATGGTACTGCTCTGTGAGAATGTGTGTGTCTCCATGTCCCTAGCCTCCTTCCAGTGGTGGCTTGTGGAGGGAGGGTGTCTCACCAGGCCTCTCCAAACACCCAGTGGGCAAGAGCACAAGGGTCCTCTAGTGCAGCCTTCTGGGGCTGTGTGACCCGGACTGGAGCTCCACATGCTCTCATGTGCACAGGCTGCTGCACGATCCCCAGGCCAAGAAGGCCAAGTGAGGAGCACGCAGCTGCCCCTCACCGCCCGCCAACTCCACCGGTGTGTCAATGTAAACTAACGGCACTCACCTGATGGGCCTACCACAGCATCAGATGATGCCTGGGAGACATCCAGGGCATGGGAGAGGGGTACTGGCTCCAGGGAGATCAAGTCCTCCTGGCTGGTGAGCATCGTAACACTGCTGGCCTTGTCCTCCTCCTCGTCCTCCTCACTGTGGGTATGTCTACACTACAAAGTTAATTCGAACTAACAGACGTTAGTTCGAATTAACTTTAATAGGCGCTACACTAGCGCTCCGCTAGTTCGAATTTAAATCGAACTAGCGGAGCGCTTAGTTCGAACTAGGAAAACCTCATTTTACGAGGATTAAGCCTAGTTCGAACTAGCTAGTTCGAATTAAGGGGTGTGTAGCCCCTTAATTCGAACTAGTGGGAGGCTAGCCCTCCCCAGGTTTCCCTGGTGGCCACTCTGGCCAACACCAGGGAAACTCTACTGCCCCCCTACCAGCCCCAGACCCCTTAAAGGGGCACGGGCTGGCTACGGTGCCCGTGCCAGGTGCAAGCCTGCCAGCACCCAGCTAGCAGACCCTGCACCTGGCACGGCACAGAGCCACCCACCCGATGCCCCCCAGCCCACCCCCTCTTGCCGGGACCAGGCTGGCGGCTCCCGGGAGCTTGCCAGGGACCGCAAGAGGTGGGCACCCGCCTGGGCTAGTGCAGACATCGTGGACCTCGTCCACGATCTCCGCACTAGGCACAGGAAAGTGGCCGTCTAGGGCGGGAGAGCTGCCAGC